TATAGCCCCATGTATCTCTAGGTAATCACTGAGACCTTGAGGAGCTAGGGACTCCAAGATGAAAATCTATTAGGTCTCTCTTTTACACAATTTCTAGAATTTTCTACCATTGACAGAATCCCCTCTTATTAATTTGATACCAAACACCCTCATCCCAGACAGGATGCCGTTGTAATTTTGTTGAAAATGTCAGGGTATTGAGTATTTATCTTTGTTTTTCTCCTTACTATTGATAATACTGCATTTATACTCCCCTAATCTGACCTTCAGGGGATGTATGGTGTGTCCAACATATGAGGCCACATGGACAAATTAGTCCATAGATAACGTATGATGTACCACAATTAATGAATTGCTTCATCTCATGCTTTCGAACCATCATACCCTACCACTTCCTTCTTGTGGTGCACTTGAACATACAGGCTCTGCAATTGCTCACCCCACATCTATAAATGCCATTCTGGTCAAAAATGGTTGCCCAGGGGCATGCGCTACTTATGTCTTTGGTGCATGGTTTAAGAATTCTGCTAGGTGCAATGTAACTCCTAAGATCACTAGGTTTCAGTGATCTAAAATTTCAGGCTTGGAAGCTAAACACTCTCCAGTTCTGCTGCAGGTTATGTTGAATGTCATTAATGTCATCACAGATTAATTGGACTCATGTAACCCTAGTGGGGAACCATCTCCATACTGAACCCAGTACTTTAAAAAGGCCTCTTCCACATGAGTATCACAGTACCCCTTCTCCAGAAACGTCCTTCTGAGAATGGCCTTTTGCTCCTCAAAAATCAACCTTTCTCATACAAATTCTTCTCAGTCTACAATATTGACCGAAAGGTAGATTTCTGATACACCTAGCATCGTGGTTGCTACCAGAGTGCAGATAAGAATTGCTGGCACTTGGCTTAAAAAATGGATCTTGGAAAAAATGTTCCACTCTCAAGCACAGGACGTTTTTCAATTATCTCTGGGCCCACTCTCATACGCATGAGGTTTTGTGTCTGTTATCTACTGTCTGAACCCTGCCTGCCTCTTGACTACGGGATCTGACCCTGACTATCCTGAACCTTGGTTGCCTTGTACCTGGACTCTCATTGAACCACTCTGCCTGTCTGTCAACCACAAGTACCTGTTTGCTGTGCTTAGTTTGCGCCTGCCCCAGCATGGTAACCAGGCACTATAGCATTGTGTATAAGTCCTGGGGGCAACTGAGACCTGCTTGCCTTATGGGAAAGGGCACTGCTATAGGTGAAGAACACAAAAGTTAGCTATAGTGTCTGACCACCAGCATTAAGGGTAAGTGTGACATCTAAGAAATGCATGCAAAAAAACCAAACTGGATTGTGATTGGCCATTATTGAGCCATTCATTTATTTTACATTCAGTAATGCACTATCACATCTTCATTCTGCTACCTTCAGATATCACTTTTTCTTCCTCTGTGTAGAACATAGTGACACATGATAAAAATATAAATACAGTGTGCAGCGCTAGTTCACCCCTCACATACAAAAACAAATCCTGAAAAAATATATAATCAAATAAAGACCTCAAAATAAGTCCATACTGTGTGACTAAAAATCATATAAAGCCCATATCTATGGGAAAAAACTGTGCCACAAAAGAGAGAAAGAGATCCTCCACTTCCAACACTCATAGCCTCTTACCAAAAAAACTTTTCACAAATCATGCGGTCAAAACAGCATATATATAGGGTATATAGGGTATATTTGATGGCAAGGAGTCCAGACAGGTCTTCTCCACTGGAGTGTTTCCACTGCTATTCACTCAATGACATAAATGCAGTATAGAACCACAAGGATAATCAAAAGGTCCTAGTTGTATATATGTAAATAGAACAAGACCTCTTCATAGTGTAGTATTTAAAAAAAAAATCTAAATTTAATAAGATAAGAATATTTCACTTCCAAACGTTAAATGAACACAGCGTTTAAAAACCAAGGCTGTTTCCAACTGACAAGGTGGCAGCGATGTGTGGTGTGATGACGCCAAAAGCTGTAGCTCCACCCTTTCATCATAAGAAGATATCGTCAGGGGCATGTCCAGCTACGTCCATCATACTTTAAGTATCCGCCAGGCAGAAGTTTACTCAATCACCTGTGCTCCATTGACCGGAAAGCAAACACTGACCACTATATCGGATGCCATGACGGCACCACAGAACGAAGCGGAAATGTTACATATTGGGACCCGGAAAAAGAAATACACTGGAGTGACAACCAGGCAACAAAGTTGTTATCTAAACTAACATCTTCCATTAATAATATAAATAAAAATGTGGCTGAATTGCATCCATACAATAGAAAAAATAATAATAATAAAAAAAAGTGACACATGAAGCTGAAGGTTTGTTTGGAAAAAACCTCATGTGATCACCATGATTGGCTGTCCTATGGTGATTGTATGATCTGTAACCACGTTGATTGGCTCCTGATAATTAGTATGCTTCTGGGAGATAACAATAACAGAGAGGTCAGACAGAACTAGAAGCACATGAAGATGTGTATTACTAGTTCTAAAATGGAACAAATATTGTGGGAGATTGTGGTTAGGAATGTCATATCTCACATTTCTAGGAGAAAAAGTAGCAACCCTACAAAAAGTACATACTGGCACAGTTTTAGCAATGGAAATAGTGTAGCACTACCATTAGTTCAACAAGGCCATGTATTATTTTTAATCTTCACTGAATGTATCTGCTGACTGTAAATTCAGAATAAGACAGCAAACATTAAAGCAATTAAATACGTTTTCTGATTCCAGTAATTATCAATAACTAAATTAATTTGAACAGTTTTTAGAATATTACATTGCTATATTACTCCAAATTCATATTGAAATTTGCATGGTGTAACATTTGTTTGTGTGTCTTAATCTACTAATATTTATGCTTCTGTGTAGCATTCTTCCTGGAACATAATTGAAGGTGTCAATACTTTCAAGAGAAATATCTATTACTGCTCCAATTAGCAAAGAATTAAATTATTTTTAATCATAAGTGCATTGGATTTTTCTTGCCAAGTAGTTCTTGCTTATTCAGGCTCTCTGTTATTGAAGCAACTCATTTAAAAGAGCTTCAGTGGGATATTTTGCATATTATATGAATTTTAGATAGACAAGAAAATAGATCTATTCAAAGGAGAACCTGTCTAGAAGGCTTGTAAACCCTCATAGCTGAGACTTACATCAAGACCTGTAGGTTGACATTGTCCTAACTGTGAAAGCAGTGTTAGTTTAGGGCCTAAAAGATACAAGCAACATTTCTCATACAGATGTATCACTACCCTCGTAAGGGCCGTTGGATTTGGTTTTGGTCCCCCTAAGCACTACACAGCCAGGTAACATGCATTTTCCACTCCTGCACATCCAAAGTCAGTAAACAGTCCATGGACTTAGGTTTTTGTTTTATTAAGGGTTGAACTTGCATAGGGTAAAGGGGTTATGGGATGCCCAATTTCACTGAAGAAATAGCAGAATGAGCATGTTTCCTGTTTTAGCACACTTAGAAAAAACAACAACAGACACTTTACTGTTTTCCAGATGAAACCATTGCCGCCCTTAGTAATCTCCTTCTGGGAGCTTGGTGTCCCCTTGGTGCAGAAAATACCAGGCCACCTGGCTATGGTATCTGATACCTGGAAAAAGTATTGGGTAATCTATCAACTGTCCCCTGAAGACTTGCCAGAACTTGCATCCAGCAGACATCTCCCTTCTAGGCCCTGGAGGTGTAGATGTACTCATGCTGTCCTTGTCCTGCAGACCATTAATCGAGCAGACACTCCCTCCAGCCCACAAAGACGACCAAAATACTTAAGAAGGAACCCTCAAGGAGTCAGGCATACCCAAGATGCTAATGGAGTGAAGAACAAATCCCATCCCCATGCAAAAAATGCAAAAGACAAGCACAGTGAGGGCATTAGATAGTTAAACCTCAATGTTGAAAGAATTTAATAATCTTAGAAATCCCCAATACCATCCCAGACCAATCCCTCATCTATCTCCATGGGATCCACACTACCTGGGCACATACAGTCACTTTTGGACAAGTGTGGTGGGTATTTCCAAGATGATTAAAACCTTTCAGCATAAGGATTTAACTACCCGATACCCTCACTGTGCTTATCTTCTGTATTTTTTGCGTGGTGCTGATGGACCTTTTTGTTCTTCCCCCTTTAGCATCTTGAGGTCACATAACTCCTTGAGGGTTCCTTGTAGAGTATTCTGGTCTGTTTCGACGCTGGTTAGTCTGGAGGGAGTGTCTGTACTTTTAATGATTCCGGTCATGTTCATTCATTATTTATGTGGATTATGATATCTGGATATGTACCCTAAAGGAGATGTGGAAATGCATTGGGAATTCCTAAAGGGCCTGATATGGCTTTATGGGGAACCTCACGCACATTTTTGAAACATTTTTTACTGTGGGGTCCCTCCCAACCTTCCTACCAGACCTAAAGGGCCTGGTATGGACTGGGGGGGGGGGGGGGGGAATTTGGGGAGAACCCCACGCTGTTTTTTTTTGTTTTGTTTTGTTATAAAAATTAAATTTTTTTAACCACTAGCCTACAGGACACTTATACCCCCTTCCTGCCCAGGCCAATTTCCAGCTTTCAGCGCTGTTGCACTTTGAATGACAATTGCGCGGTCATGCAACACTGTACTCATATGAAATTTTTATAATTTTTTTGTGACAGATAGAGCTTTCTTTTGGTGGTATTTAATCACCTCTGGGTTTTTTTTCTTAAACAAACCAAAAACCACTGAAAATGTTGAAAAAAAAAAAACGTTTTTTCTTAGTTTTTGTTATAAAATTTGTAAATAAGTGATTTTTCTCCTTCACTGATGTGCTCTAATGAGGCTGAACTGATGTGCACTGATGGACACTGATAGGTGGCACTGATGGAGGCACTGGTAGGTGGCACTGATGGGCATTGACAGGCATCACTGATAGGCACTGAAAGGCAGCACTCATATATGCACTGATAGGCGGCACTGACTGGCACTGATAGGCGGCACTGACTGGCACTGTTAGACGGCACTGATAGGCAGCACTGACGGGCACTGATAGGCAGCACTGATGCACACTGATAGGCGGCACTGACTGGCACTGATAGGTTGCACTGATTGCCAGCAGTGATAGGTGGCACTGACTGGCATTGATAGGTGGCACTGACTGGAACTGATGGCTGACACTGAAAGGCAGATCAGATGGGCACTGATATGTGGCATTGATGTGGCACTGATGGGCACTGAAATGTGGCACTGATGGGCACTGGTGGCGCTGCTGGGGCTACACAGATCATCAGGGCACACTGATCATCAGTGCTCTGATGATCTGTGTAGATGTCCCCTCCGAGGAATACCGATTACTGGCTCTCCTCTCGAGGTGTCAGCGTGATAACCAGCATTTCCCTGTTTACATGTGATCAGCTGTGATTGGACACAGCTGATCACATGACCGAGCCGACATCTTCGGCTCTTTCCGTGGATCAGTGATCCGCTGTGTCCTAGGGATACAGCGCACCACCTATCGCCACGCTGCGTGCTCCCGGAGCTGCTCATGCACGGTGAGAATGGGAGGACGTCATATGATGTCCTCCCAGACTGAGAGAACCGCCTTGCATCCGTCATATTACTATATGGCGAGCGGGGAGGCGGTTAAATAAATGTCAGTCCTGCTGCAGCAGGTTCTATACATTGTACAGATGTGCAACTTTGCAGGTAGTTTAAGAGGACTTCCCAGGCATGATATTTAAAGGTATTTTTCTATTTTTTAATATACTTTAAGCAATGAAAAATGTCTTCCCCTTTAAACGGTACTTTTTGAAAAAATTTTTCACTGATTCATGTCCCTCAGGCTGGACCCGAGTCCCCAAACTGCTTTATGGCCAACAATCGATCACTGACCAAACACTGGGGTTTTTGGTCCATCACTAATTAACAATATTTTATAAGGATTGATTTATATTGTATAGTGAAAATATTATAGTGGAAACCACATATTTTAGGGTATCCCATGTTAATTGCTTTTAACCATGTACAACCACTGGCAAAAAGTTTGGAATCACCACTCTTGGAAAATTTTCATTCAATTGTTAAATTGTGTAGATGAAAAACAATCACAGACATGCCACAAAACTGTTCTCATTTAACATTCCAACCTTCTGACTTTAAGAAACACTTAAAAAATAAAAAAGAAAGAAAACTGTAGTCAATTGCAACTGTTTTTGCAGATCAAGCAGAGGAAAAAAAATATGGAATCACTCAATTCTGAGGAAAATATGGAATCTCCATGTACATTTCAGTTCTAGAACAAACCTCTGCATCAGATTATATCTTCTAATTAGTCTGCAGTTAAAAAGGAGTGCTTGCACTTCTTGGTGAGCTATTGCACCAAGCTGATTGACATGAATCATGGCTCCAACATGAGAGATGGTGTCAGTTGAAACAAAGGAGATGATTATAAAACTTCTTCAAGAAGGTAAATCATCACGGAATGTTGCAAACGATGTTGGTTGTTCCCAGTCAGCTGTGTCTAAAATCTGGATCAAATACAAATCAAAAAAGAAGGTTGTAAAAGGGAAGCGTACTGGTAGACCAAGGAAGACACCAAAGCATCAAGATAGAAAACTTAAAGCAATATGCCTTGAAAACAGAAAATTCACAACAAAACAAATGAGGAACAAATGGGCAGAAACTGGAGACAATGTATGTGGCCGAACTGTAAGACATCGCCTAAAGGAAATGGGATTTACTGTACATACAGAAAATCCAAATGAAAACCATCATTAATAAATAAACAGAAAACAAACAAGGTCACAGTGGGCTACAGAAAAGCAATAATGGACTGTGGATGACTGAAAGAAAGTGATATTCAGCAATGAATCACGAATCTGCATTGGGCAGGGTGATGATGCTGCAACTTTTTATTGGTGCCTTTCCAATGAAATGTATAAAGACAACTGTCTGAAGAAAACATGCAAATTTCCACAATCATTGATGATATGGGTTGCATGTCAGGAAAAGGTACGGGGGAGATGACAGTCAAACCCTTTGGCGCTATATAAATACCGTATTATAATAATAATAATAACAATAAATGCACAAGTTTATATTGAGACTTTGGACACTTTTCCTATTCCATCAATTGAAAGGCTGTTTGGTGATGATGACATAATTTTTCAGGATGATTAACCTCTTCACGCCAGCTGAACACAAATGTGAGACCTCCCAGAGTCTGGACCTAGACACCGAGCGGCCGCACATTTGTGTGCAATTAAGAAAAACATGTGCTGAGAGTGTGCACCCTGCATGCTCCCAGCACACATGTCTAGTACTCACAGAAAGGTCACAATCTCCTCTTTCGATCGGGACCTTTCCCGATCATGTGAGCGCCGTGACAGCGAATCACGGCGGTCACATGACCCTAAAACCCTGCCCCACCTCCCGGCTTCTGAAACCCTTAAAGGGCCGGGAGGCGCCGGTGCCAAGGTGTTAAAGAAAATGGTCTATGACAAGGCTCCAACCTGCAAAACTGATCTGGCAACTGCAATAAGAGAAAGTCGGAGATGGATTGATGAAAAATATTGCTTGTCAATAGTGAAAAAAATTTTTTTGTCATGATTACATAATATTTTCCTCAGAATTGAGTGATTCCATATTTTTTTTTTTCCTCTGCTTGATCAGCAAAAACAGTTGCAACTGACTACAGTTTTCTTTCTTTTTTATTTTGTAAGTGTTTCTTAAAGATAGAAATTTGGAATGTTAAATTAAAATAGTTTCCTTATATTGAATGTGGTAAAAATTGTAAAAGATCCCCAAATCTATGACTGAATATGCAGCATATCTGCATTACAGTAATAAATAAGGTGGGTGAAATAAGTTTAACCACTTTACTACTACCATGTGCAGAGGTTTTTTTTTTCTCAGAGAATAGGCGCAGGAGCTCCCCACTTCTGACTCACTTCTTGTCTCCACCCCCCTATCTCCAAGCACTGTCTCTTGTTTCCACCTCCTGCCCACCTTCCAGCATCGCTCCTTTTTAAAGAGTACAGAGCCAAGTATCATTTTGTGGTGCTAAGTAATTTGCATGGAATTTGTTAACGATAACAAGAAAAGCAGTAAAAGAGATCCCCTGCAGCAACAATAGATTCCTCCAGCAACAATGGACCCCCACAACATAATACCACCCCAGCAACAATAGACCCCAGCAGTAACAACAGATCTCCTGATAGCCAGCAACAACAGACTCCTCCCTCAAAAATAGATCCCTGCTAGCTACAATTGACCCCCCAGAAACAATATATCCCCATAAGCAACAATAGACCTCCCCAGCAACAAGAGACCACCACACAAAAATAGATCCCCACCAGTGACAATAGATGCCCCAACAGTCAGCATCAATAGACCTTTCAGCACAACCCAGCACCGCTTGCCATTACATACATTCCTTGCTGAAGGTACATTCCCCCACAATCCAGCTGAAAAATAGCCCTGACCATAAGTAATAAAACGGCAAAGTGGTAGATGTGTATTTCTGGAGTGCCATTTATAAATGGTACTTCAGAAAACTCACATGGGTAGTCAGTGTATTCATAAATGACTGTGATCTGAACCATTGTCAGAGGGCTCAAATTACAGACACAATGTACAGAGCCAATCACAGTGATCACTGTGATAAGAAATCACAATGATCAGAAACGTAAATAAGGGCCTGTTCATACTGTCCGCGCACAAACGAGTGTGCAGGCAGCTGTCAGTTTCAAGTGCAGTGAGCAGCAGTCAGGCGGTGGTGTGATGACAGTTCTCTTTTTTTGTCAACTTTATTTTAAGTGCACAAAGTGACATGCAGTATAGTGACACGCAGCGCCTTCCTGTGTGCTGCAATAAAATGTATGTGTTTTATTGCAGCTCACTGAACCACACCTGCAGGAGGCATGGCAGTGTGAACGAACACAAAGAAAGCAGATGTTTTCTATGTGCCCTAATGGTGCCTGGAATTCTTCCAGTATGGAAAAACATCAGTCATTGATCTATGTATGAATGGGCCCTAAAGGGATATGACTGATTTTGGAACCTCTTTTTTTTAACCTTCTCATCCCCTCCTCTCCGGTACACCTCATCTCCATATTGTCACTCTATGTGACCTATATATTAACCTACAGATAAGAGTGCAGCGCTTATGAAAACAAATGAAACATTTAAAAGCTATGACACACAAAATTTTATATCAAAGTGCAAGGGTGTATAACTGCAAAACGCAGGCAAGATATAGTTCTTATGCTGCCCCTTATAGGGTGAATTGATATGGTATAAGTGCTCAGTTCACAATCTCCCAGTAGGTGGGGTATCAAATGGATCCCTGTTGACACACGGTGATAACCAAGAAAAACGATATGTGGCTATATCCAAAATTGGTATAAGATTGTGCACTCACCAGATGCACAATTAATATGCGCATGTAAGCGATAACCCCTCTTAAGGTATGACTCCAGGACTCTTCTGAAGCAAGGTCTGGTCAATTTCCGCGTTGTGGACCCTCAGCTGTCATGCATGGCTCTGTTCCCCTATTGCTCTTTGCTCTGCAGGTGGTTGGAAGCTCACCAAAGAGCCCCAGAGACTAAAGGAGGCCAGAATAGCGTGATACTGCTTGAACATGCGTGTGTTTATTCCATCCTGCATAAAAGGGTATAATAACACAATACTGACCAGACAAGAAAGTAAGTTGGCCGCCGGGACCGCAGTGGTGCCGGCGGCAATAGAACGTCACTGTGCCGCAGTTCCTCTGTGACGCGTTTCGTGCAACCGCACTTACTCATAGGGGGTATGCTTAGAGAGCAGATCACCGTGGAGTGTTGTCTTTTCAAAAAGCAGTAATTTGGGGCTTATTTGTACTGTTCAGGTTTTTTTTATTGGATATGTTTTATATTGTACACCCCTTGAGGGTTAGGGACTGATGTGAATGTACAATATATATGTAAAGCGCTGCGTAAATTGACGGCGCTATATAAGTACCTGAAATAAATAATAATAAATAAAATAACAGAAAGTAAGAGAAACTTTTTTTTTTATTGATGGTCTCCTTTCTTTTTTACAGTAAAAAAAAAAGTGATTAATAAATACCTCTAAAAAAAGCTATATCTGTCCCCGAAAAGTCTTCTAAACTTCTTTTGGGTACAGTGTTGCACAAAAGAGTAATTGTCAGCCAAAGTAACACAGCACTGAAAACTGAATAAAAGACCTGCTAATGAAGAGGTATTACAAGCTTAAGTAGTTAATAATTTATTCTCCAAATGTAAAGTAACATACAGTAGTGTGTGTGTGTCAACCAATCTGCTGTGTATATAAGTCCAACATTTGTGCAATTCTCGTAGCAGCTAGTAACATTAAAGTGATAAATCAGCAACTGTTGTGACACATACCATAAAATAACATGATCAAAAATACGCACTTATCCTTCTATGAAATGCGTACAAATAAGATCATGTTAATTCTAGC